CCTTTCAAGGAATAGGCGATCATGGCTCTCCACCACTTTCTATCCCTTGCAGCTCTCAACAAGTTCTTTTCCTCTTCTTCCTGCCACAGAACACGTTCTGTCAGTCACTTGCTCAAGCTCGCCAGGTATGTCACACGCTGCTTTCCCTTGTTTTTGTTTACTTCTACTTGACCCGTGAGTATCAGATTCTCCAGGCCCTCCTTCCTCATTATGTGTCCGAGAAACTTCAGCTGCCTCTTTCTGATGTTACGTATAAGCCTCCTCCTTGTTTGCATCCTATCTAAGACCTCATCGTTGCTCACACGCTCGATCCATGATATCCTCAGCATCCTTCTGTAGAACCATATCTCCGTCGCCTCGAGTCTTTTCTTCATCTTTGAGGAAATCATCCAGCATTCGCTGCCATAAAGAAGAACATGTCACACGTAACAGCTCAGTATTTTTTTTTCATTACCAAAGAAATCCTCCTGTCTCAATAGATACTCTATACAAAAAAGAATGTGTCCTTGGCCATCCCAAACATCTACAGATCTCAATGTCACAGAATTGTGGATCAAAAACAATCCCAGATATTTAAACCATCTCAGACCTTACAAAATAGATTCAAATGGACTAAACCTCAAATCAATGTTGAAAACTAAGAAACAAAAAATAAGGCTCTGCGTTCATATTGTCTGGTGTTTTGGTCAAAAAACGCAAAGAAAACTCCATCTTTTAATAAAATTACAGACAATATATAACGCAGATATTGCAACAATACTTTAATGTTTGCTAATCATTTAAACTAAAATAAGATAATCACCAAAATCTGTAAAATAAAATAAAGAAAAACTTAGATAAACAAATTAAAGTAAGTTCGAATGCAACACAATATATATATATATATATATATATATATATATATATATATATATGGATATATATATATTATGAAATGAGCAAAAGTCCCTCAATTAAATTATTTTAAGCATTTTTATGTTTATAAATACAAATATTTAAATAAATTCTCTGTTTATAATAAATGTACTAATAAAATTTTACCATCTAAAGAGAATAAGCAGAAATTTATTTCCGTATATTTCATAATAAGAATTTGTCGGAGGACGAAAATTTTCTGGGAAAATTTACGGACATTCAAAAATGTAACTGTTATTTAATACAGCTTATTATAAACAGACTTCACATAACTTTGCTAATAAAAAAAAGACATTTATAAAAATAATGTATTATAAAATAATTTATATATATATATATATATATATATATATATATATATATACACAACCTTGGGCAAAAAATTGAAACAAAACGAATTCCGTTATTATTTTCCTATTGTTCCAATGAAACATGTCCCAGTGCACATGTTAATAATTCGTAAGTCTATTCTGCAACGGCTTTTTTCTCTTTTCAAATCTATTTTTCATCTCATCTCCCTTCAGGGCATAATCGATCATGACTCTCCACTGTTTCCTTTTCTTTAATATCTAGAAATTACCGTAATTTCATAAGTAGGATGTTGGTGTCGTTTCCCATTATCTTCTGCGATGTTCTGAATTTTGAGATTTCCTTCTCCTATACTGGCTATCAACCAAGGCTAAAGAATCAACTGTATGCTACAATTTAGTAAACGGATGAAAGAAGACCATATGAATCGTTGGTTATCTCAAAATTTGAAATAAAAAAGTCGAAAGTGAACACAAATGATTAGATTCGGATTTGAACCCCGACTGCTAATTCTACATTTACGTGACGATAGCTGTTTGGCTACTCTGAAATTAAGACGAAGAAAGAAATAATAAACTTAAATCGAGAAGCGGCAAGCCCTCTATAAAGACCGCCATCTTTTTAAGGGAGACTTCTTTAAGGATAGACGGAATAACATTCAGAGGATGTTGAATAACTGAATTAACGGCAAGGAGAGGAAGAAATTAATTAGATAAATATTTTCAATATTATATTTAATATATATATATATATATACACCCTTGTGTGAATTGATTGAAACAAAACGAATCATTATTAAAATCAGCACCATCAAATTGTTTTGATTCTTAACACCAAAAATCGTGTTGAACAGGGTTATAATATTAAAATTTATTAAATGATTTGATGAAAATACTTGTTGGTCTTGGTATATTCAATCGTGTTATTTTTAAAGATTTAGGGTCTGATTGTTATTGCAAAAATAGTATTTCTCAATAAGCAGACCAATATTGGTTGGTTTAAATACAAATTGAGTAGTTTCTACGATTTTATTTTGAGAAATATTGCCATCGGTCAATATCATAAATACAGAAAACAAATGAATAAATGTTTTTTTCCAAAAACAGTAGCTAACCAAGAAAGATTAAGGTCATTTTCAGATTCAACGCCATCAAATTAGCTAAAAAGAAAGATGTGTGGTGTCACGACATCATTTCAATTTTTTTTTTATCAGTGTCAAAAATAAGGCGTAAAAAGTTAACAAACAATACTAATAAAACAAAATACCTACCAATAC